GTACACAGAGTTTCTCTCTCTCACATTGCTTCTTATAAATTCGATTTATTTATTTTTAAGTGAGCAGAATGTCAACGTTTAAAAGTTTCTCTCCGCGGCCACTGAAAACCCAGAAGTTGATTATGCCTAAGAACTAGAATGAATAAAATTGTGCATGAACCCCCCAAACAGCAAAAGAAAAGAAAAAAAATCCAAGTGTCTGTTCTGGGTGACGAACTCTTGGAGAAAGCTGCAGAGACGTCAGTCCAAGATTTTGAAGTACCGGCATCCATGCGCCTCGCCGATCGTATCGTTTTTACACTAATCGGGGATAGCTCACGACCGTGAATTCTGAATTTCTTTGCGACCACCTCTAGAGGGCAGATCCTGAGGAGGCCCTACGCATTCTTCTTATTTTTCGATTATCCAATATATATCCAAACTAAAAGATGTGAATAAGTAGTTTTGACACAGAAGTGGGATTTGTGGTAGAAACTCGATCAATGACCTTTATTTAGCAGTTTAAATTTCTCGGGTTGAATTGTTTCGGGGGTCGTTTATAATCAAGTACGTGTGTGCCAAAGGACAAACGTCACTAGCCCGAGTCAAACCATTTAAAACAAAAGAGTGATAAGCGCGTAACTACGATTCTGGGATTTTATTACAGCACTGGTTTGAAGGCCCAGCTGAAGTTCCATAGGTCTGTGATCTGCAATCTAGACATTACATGCAGAGAAAAGCATCGAAATCTCTCTAATAGCCACGGATTATGGGTTGGTGGTGGGGTTGTGCGGGAGCAAGAGAAGACGACGCAAGGCCGTGACATGTAGCCATTGAAGCGATTAAGACCTTCTCTACATGTTCCGGGACTCTTTCTTTGACCAACGAGATTACATACTCCAAGACGACGCTTTCACAAGGCAGCACAAGAGGTCCGTTGGAAGGCAGTCCAAACTCTTCCTCAGACATCTTGAGCAGCTCCTTGAAGACGCTGCTTTTGAGATACTTGAGGGGAAGCACAAATCGCTTATGATCTATGCTGTAAACCACGAAATGGCCGTCGTTTGCCTCTGAAGAATACAAGTCCACGCCGTCTCTTTTGTACGATATCCTCTTACGCTTACCAGCCGCCATCTTCTGCCACTTTCTTGCCATATTGGCAAGCTTTTTCGCGCTGACCATGGTTATTTTTTAATGATTAGAAGAAGTGACTCACTGATAAACAGCTCTAGAGCAGGAGGAGGAACCTGGCCATGCACAACACTCGCTGATTGAGGTTGTGGAGTGTGGTTATTAGTCCGGTTTGAGGTATATAAATATATAGTGCGCACGCAAGTACACAAGCTCCATGTACTGTGTTGTCCGCACTGTTGTGCTGATATGGCGCATTGCCATGTGCAATCTTTCATTAATCGCAGTTGGGCTCGTGGTCCTTATTACGTGTTTTCCCAACAAGCTAACATAATTTAGGGGGTAGGCATTGCGTACTCTAGGGCTTGTATGCCAGCTGACCACCACTCGTTTTGACCACCACTCGTTTTAATGTGTGCACTTCTTTCCTTAGGCTTTGAGGCCACGAAGCTTAGGTGTCTACTTGTCAGGCATTATTCATCGACATTTTGGGGTCAGGAGGGGCGCTGCAGCATCATATTGATTTTATTCAGTCATCCACCATAAGAGTTTAGTACTTCATAACATAAAATTTATTACATTTAATATATGATAATATCTTAAATAGGATTATTTTTAATAAAAAATAAAGTATTGATTTTATTGAATACACGCCTCTTTTTTTTTTAAGCTGTGTTTGGATTAGTGGTGGAAAAGCAATTTTTTTTTTTAATCTGACTTTTACAGAAGTCAGATGGGATAAAAGCAGTTTTTTTGAGCTTATTGTATAAGTCCGTATCAGTGACAGAAGTTAGATTGCAAAAATGTGATTCCAAACACATCCCAAATCAAAAAAGCTTCTTTTGCCAGTAGAGAAGTCAATTTGAAAGTCCAGATGTGATTTCAAACACACCCTTAAACAATTATGGTCCAAGAAAAAATACATTGGTTGGAACAGTCACTTAAATTTGCGAAAAAAGAGAAACACACAATCATATAAGCAGGCGTGAAATTATTGTCCATCTGTTCCTCATTGTTATGGCATTGATCTGTCAAATATTTATGCTTTGATTAGTCCGTAGTCACCAGAATAAAATCAAATATTGCCAATAATGCATTAGCTTTGTGCGTGAGCACCATCAGTTGCGTTCATCCGCATTAATTAGATGATTTTTTTTTTCATGAAAGAATGATGGAAAAATACCACTGAATCTGCATGTATCTCAAATTATGACCTTGAAATAGCCTAACTATTGCAGAGGTTATGAGAACTATCCTAAAATTAAAGTTTTGTTATGAATTAACTTAATTGCCTATGGCGTTTTTTAAACTCTTTATTGTCGGCCGTTAGAATTCTAGTCGTTACCCCACCCCCAGCAGCCGGAGCTTCGATATTGGCCATGGAGCTCCAATGACCTAAGAATAAGCGGGGAGGAAGCAACTTTTGAGACCGACTTCTTCATTTTAATAAATACAGTAACAATTTTACTTATATCCTCATAAATGAAACTATCTCCAGTTCTTAATATAAAACTTTTGTTTAACTTTTATTTTGTTCTAAATATAAGACCCAAATCTATTTTGTCTCTCATATTTATATTTTTTTTTCTAAGGTAGTCCTTCTAACAATGATAATTTTAGCCAACACATTTAATTAAATCTTATAATTAGAAAAGACAATACCTATTTATTACAAGTAACTAATTTAACTTCTTTTTTTTTATTTCTTCAAATTAGTCAACTAGATCTTATAATTAATAATTAGGACCAGAGGCAGTATGTGTGATATCTATTTAAAAGGATAGATCGTTCTTCCAATTGAACCACCAATGTGAGCTACTCCGGATTCAACAAATAAACTTTATGTAAAATCTCCAATATTACCACACCTGGTGTATAGGTTATTTCTTAAAGTGAAGTGGTTACTGGTCCCCAAATTATCACATTAACACTTTAAATCAAAAACTAACTTGTCAAAATATAGTTGACACAATTGAGACTTTTGTTATGATTTTATGTAATTAAAGTTGTTTTAAAGTAGTCTTTAATATTTAGGTTATCACTAATACTTAAAACCCCAACCTAGTTTTTTAAAGTAATGGCTATCATTATCCATCTTTTATTATCATTTCATATAAGTAAAAATGTAGCTTAAAGTAAAATAGTCATTAATTTCAAGATTATTCATTCCAAATAGTAATTCTCTAGCTATTCACCACTTCCACTAGAGCTCCATCCGTTAGCGGTGGAGGGAGTTTTTTTCCCCAAAAAAAGGGACAATTAACCATTTTATTACAAAACTTCCATAAGGGGCAGAAAATTTATTAATCTGGTTGAGAAAGAAATTTAAAGTTAATTTATTAGGTTCCAATTTCTAAGTTCCGTGACATTTTCCCACGAGTGCAGTAGGAGGTCTGTGTGGTGAGGTGGAGGCCACGCTAAACTGGGCCTCCGTCCGCCTGCGTCTCCATGCTCGAAATGGTTGGATTAGCTCTCAAATAAGGCTTATCCTCTCCCATCATACCAACGGATTTAACCGCCAATTTCAACGCATAATCCAGTTTGCGGCCATGGAAAACTTAAAGATTCTACATTCTCCCCCGAATGATCTCTTGCCACATCCTATTTCCACTTCATTCCCAGTATCAACATTCTTTACTTACCCGCCCGAAGCCGCAAATTTCCGCTCTCCGTTGGTAATTTCTACACTAAATTCTTCAGTTTTCCTTTTAGTTCTCTCACCGCGGATGATTCTATAACCTAATGTTCTGGCATCTGAGGACGTGTGCTCATCGACTGAGCTCTATTCGTTTCGTAAGCAGCGAAGCCATTTGCGTGTTGACAGTTGAAGGCTTACTTCTCTCAAATGAATTTTTCCCCATTCTTCCTTGGTGCTTGTTCGTCGACTACTGGATTTCAGTTGTGAAAATAGCGACTTGAATCTTTCCATGACTCCTAAGATTGCTTGCCGTTTACTGATACTTCAGGGACTTGTATTAATAAGACGCAGTTTATTCCTTTTTTTATTTTTTCATTTTATGCAAGAAGATTATTTAACTTGACAGAGCCTAGGATGAAATGACAAAACTGGATACATCACAAAGCAACTCTCTGATACGTCTTTGGACTTCTTTCCTTTCTTTATCTTTGCTATTAAATATGTCCTTCTTCGGCTGATTCTGCAACTTGATATCAATCCTAACCTACTTGGCATTAACGCAGGCTTTGTAACAGAAGCTTTATCATTTCCATGTTCTAGCAAATTGTTGCCCGGTACTCGAACTGTTAGAGAACGACGTGGCTTGCTGTTCCGTGCGAGGAGCACATCAGGTTGCTATAGTTAGTCATGTAAATAGCCTTAATCTTTCTTAATGCTCCTTATCTTTGATGTCTAAGGGTTGTGATAGTTACCGCGTGGCTTTTCAGCGTCATCGCCACCGTTTACTGAAGAACTTGTTGTGGAAAAACTGAAGGACAACCCTGTGAGTGGAGATTCCATTCGCTATAAATTTCTTACTTTTTATGCTTCCCGCGGTCATAAGGTCCTTCCTAGCGCTTCTCTGGTCCCTGATGATCCCACAGTTCTCCTGACTATAGCGGGAATGCTTCAATTCAAGCCTATATTTCTGGGAAAGGTTTGAATATTGTGCACTGTTAATGTAAATTTCTATTATTACAATCGAAAAGTTTGCAAGGACCAGAGGCAGTATCAAGTTTCAACTGTATAAGCATATTGTGCTTAGGTTCCGAGAGAGGTACCTTGTGCGACAACTGCACAAAGGTGCATACGAACAAATGATGTGGAGAATGTAGGCCGAACGACTCGACATCAGACATTTTTTGAGATGCTTGGAAACTTCAGCTTTGGCGATTACTTCAAAAAAGAAGCAATAAATGGGCGTGGGACTTTCACTTTCAACCATAGAGTAAGCTATGATGTCATCTAATTTGCTGAACTATGCTCTGTGTTTTCTTCGTACAGTAAATGGTTGAGAAGATTGGAATTAAATTGCTCTTCTTGAAAAACAAGTTTTGGAGACAATATCCACTTTAAGATGAAAAAAAAATTAAAAAAAAAAAAAAAACCCACGCTGAATACACTTCTTTCAATTGAACTGCAGAACTCCACTTTTAAATTCAGAAAAACATGACGTGGCTGTAAAGCAGATCAATATGCAATTTTTTGGGTTGCTTTCATTTGACGTATGGGCCTACAATTAACTTTTTGGTCTTCAAATAGCTGTATTACCTAGCCTGTTGAATGCAACCTTTTGATGGTGTTATATTGTGAGGGTTTTAACAAGAAGCAATGACCAGGTTTCCAAAGATTATTAGAAAGTCTAGAACATATGAATAACATCAATCGTGTCATTTTTAATAGTGTAATTCTTCAAAGCTCATGTTTCTTGTTTATGCACATAACATTCTGACCTAATTGTATTATATCTGTTATTCATTATGAAAAAGGAGATAAGTTGTTGCCTTTTTGAGTAGTTGTTTTTTCAGAATGTTAAAAAAAAAAAAAAGCATTTTATTCATTTACTTACAGGTTTGGTTTGCAAGCCGACAGATTGTGGATTAGTGTTTATAAAGATGATGATGAAGCCTTTGCTATATGGTCTGATGAGGTTAGCTTAAAAATGCATTCCTCTGAGCATGATCCGCTAATTTCTTAAAATACTTCCATTGAATTTTTTGAGTTTTTATTTGGGCATGAGCTTTTAAGCGACATATCTTAGTGGGTTAGGCACTGCATGAATATTAACTACACAGTCTTTGTTCCTGCAGGTGGGCGTTCCATTTAA